AGGGCAGCCTTTTTCTCATGTTGGGCCTCTCAAGGCTCTATTTTCTTATGCCTTGCTAGTCCGAGATATCCCGGGCTGCTGGCCAGCCTTCCCAATACCCTTATTTCATTTTTCTTTCTCTCATGGCTCTCCCACTTTCTCCCACTAGTGCTTACACTAGTGGTGCTAATATTTTCCACCGTCTAGATCCTCGATCTCGACGGCGCCGCTTGCTTGCACAATTATTCCTTGTGGTTTCTCATGGTTCCCTTGGGACATCCCAAGTCCCCGCCATTCTCCTCCATACTAGTCCCATGTTCTTGTCCCGCCGGTGGTCCCGCTGGCGCATGTCCCGTTTTTCGATTTTTATTATTTTGACACATTTGGTCCCCGACAACATTCCGGACGCCTTCCCATTTTTATTTTTTTGGGGCCCATTGCCCTTGGTGGTCCCATCATTTCTACATGTGTGCCGATTTTTCTAGGGCGCGAGATCCCATCTTACGGTCGTCGTTTACCGTCTTTACTTGCCCCCTTGTCGAAATTGCTTCTTTTTAGCCTTTTCGGGCTTGCCGTAGCCCATTTCCCCTCGGCCTTGGCATCCTTATGCAGTCCGTAATTTCTCGGACTGCAGTCATTGTTTTTTCCCATACCCACGGCCCCACAACTTGCCCCATGTTGAAAGAAAATGAAGCGTTAAATTTTCTAGTGCATCCGGACTCAATATTGGCTCCGGATGCACTTAGAACATGTGTTTTCCTTCCCCCATGCAGTCCGTTGTAACTCGGACTGCAACGGGGGTCAATTCCTTAGCCCCAATGCCCCACAACCAGCCCTCACTCAAAAGAAAAAGAAACGGCCAACTCCCAAGTGCATCCGGACTTGATTTTGGCTCCGGATGCACCTACAACATGTGTTTCTCCTCATGCATGCATTCCGTTTTATTCCGGTTGTAAGATGCCTTGATTTTCTTTGATTTTCTCTGCAAAAATCAAAGAAAATCAAAGTCCTTTGTAACCGTCATATTCCAGAATGAATCTGGTCACGGATGAATCTCCCCAAGTGACCGTTTTTTACGGTTAAGGCATTTTTCTCGTTTCTTTTCTTTTCTTTTCTTTTCTCTTTCTCCTCCTTTCTTGGACAGTAGGGACCTGCCAGTCTCTACCTATGTCAGTCCCTACTGAAGGCCAACTCACTCACTCCCTCTCACTCCTTTTGTCTTATTCTCCTCCACTTTCTTTTCCTTTCTCTTTTTTTTCTAGCATGCCAAGTGTAAAGTGGCCGTTAAGGCCCTTTTCTAGCCTCTTCCTCTTAGTTTTGGCCCTCCCTATGCCCAAGGTGCAGTCAGTTATTTCTCGGACTGCAATAATGGYCTTCCCATGCCMATGGGASCCTCCTTTTACTCCTACACTTCTCCCCCAATKGTCCCTCCTACTCYGATTTTCTCCCGGAGGGCTATTTTTCACATGGGGTCTCATTTGASTCTATTTTTTTGAGGGAGGCTGATCTGAGATTTTTCAGATTGCTCCCATGCCTCCCACTTCAGTTTTCCTTACTTTTCCTTTTCCTTTTGGCCTTCCCGTTTGTCACCACTAGTACTTGCACTAGTGGTGCTAATATTCTTGGCCGTCAAGATGTCGATCTTGACGGTGCCCCTTGCATTTATTATTTTCCCCTCATGCAGTGCCGCCGTTTCTTCTTGGGACTTTCACATGTCCCCGCTACTTGTCCCGTTGGTGGTCCCGGACACTTAGTCCCGTCAGTGGTCCCCGACACTTTGTCCCGTTGGCGGTTCCCGACACTTAGTCCCGTCGGCGGTCCCCGACACATTAGTCCCGTCGGCGGTCCCCGACACATTTTGCCCCGTACGCCATTATTTTTACTTAGTCCCATGTGGCCCCGGGTGCCTTTCCCCGAGGTGTCCCATGCTCCTTGGGCGTCTTGTCGCCCCACAGCGACCCCTCTCCTTAGTCTTTCCTCGCGCCTTGTGCGTGCCGATCTCTTTGGTCGTGGGCCTCCGCTCCGAGGCTCCCGTAGGTGGCCTCCGTGTTGGCCCTCATTTCCTGGACTTCCTCATTCCCTTATTGCTGTCGCGCTGCAATTGCTAGCTCAAAGGGCCCTTTGGCCTTAGTCTTATTGCATTCCGATGACCCTCTTGGCCCCCTGCTATGTTCTATGTGCCCCTGTTCTTGCGCTCGCTTGCTTGTCGCCGCTAGTTCTTTCCTCCTGTGGTTCTCTCCTCAGGGCATCACTCCCTTCTGCAGCCTAATCCTTTGTTTTTTCTCTCTCCTGCTTCCTCACTCCAGATTTATCTGTTGTGCATAAATTGTCCGTATTCAATCTCTCGAGTGCTGGGAAGTTATTCGGGACCCACCAGTCCCGACACCAGGCGCTTCGCCCAGGTAGGGACCTCGCCTTGGGTACCCCGGGCGTGAGAAAAGTCAACCAAAATGTTTGTTCGTTTTTTTTTCTTTGGTCTGTGTTGCCTTCCTGCGCTCTCCCAATACTTCCCAAATCCGGCGTCATTGTTTTTTTTCAGGCATACAGGTTTCAGTGTGTCGAGGGGGGTTTGGGGGGTAGGGGGAGGGCGTGCAGGAGCGGGGCAGATTAGGGGTTGTCCGTTTTGCAAGAGGGGAGAGGGAGACTATGGAGGAGGAGGGAGGGAGACTGATAAGGAGGAGGAGGGGGGAGGGAGACTATGGCAGAGGAAGGGAGATTGATGTGGAGGAAGAGAGTGAGCTAT